GAAGTTATTATAGTTAATATATGCAAATCGTTATCAAATCGTATATTTTCCTTTTCTTCCATTACATGTGTGCGATATATATAAATATATAAACTATGTTACATGCGTTATATGCGTCTCTAATTATTTTTCCCTAGCAAATTTCAATTGAACCTAAAGCCGCCACGTCAGTTTAATTGATATGCTAATTGATTGACAATTAAGCAATGTTACTTTTTAATTAATACAAACTTGAGGTTACATCTTTTCAAATGTTTCTCAATTAATATATAGGAGATTAAATATCAAAAGCGTAATTCGTAAATAACCTCTCGTTACCACAAAATAATATTTTAAGACATAAAAATGAAATCATGTACGTGAATGTAATAAGATGATTAAGATCGTGCATTTGAGATTACCCAACCAGGAGGAGATGGAAACAGCTTAACATACTCCGGGATATCTTCTAAAGATCTAACGCCGTGCTCATCGAATTCATACACAAGAATGCTCTCATCTCTTTTATCTCTTACCCACAGGTTCAAAAAGATTATAGAGTTGGCTCTAAACCCCTGAATCTCAGTAGCCAAGCACGAGAAGGAGAAAATGTTCTCCAAGAACAATACACGACCATCCACATCTTCCACTTGATTCCAATCGTGTCTCTCCACGTCTAACTCTGAAACTTCGAACCATATATTCTTCTCACGGACATTAGGTATGACAAAATCGTACCGGCTCTCTGTGCACAACTCCACGAGAAGGAGCTTGTCTCCTGAGTTTAGAAGCTGTAAGTTGGAGACATATAATTAATGTATGAAAAGTAGAAAACACATTTTTGCCCCAAGAAAAAACTTAAAATCCCAAGCAAGATATAAAAGTGTTTTAGTTTTCCTTACCCAACGTTTCCTTGTCTTATCACACGGTCTAGACCGCTGAAATGTAGTCACCTCTAGAGTTGGCTCTACAACTATTGTTCTCCCGGTGGGATCTATGGCGTACAACTTACTTTTATATGAAATTATCCCTTCAAATGAATCGGGTTGTGTTATCTGGAGCGCAGACCAACGCTCATCGATTGACCTATACACTACGGGAGTCTTGCCTCTTAGACTCCCTAGAACCATAAATTCGTTGTTATCTGTGTCTAAACTCATGAAGCCAATGTCTCCGTCCACTATCAATGGAACTTCGTCTGGTTCGGACCAGGTGTAACAAAGCTGGGTGTAACAAGCCACATGTTTTTGAGCTAACTCAAAGACTTGACATCTGAGCAAGTCAAGTGAAAAAGTTGGATACAAACATCCATTTTCAGAGGAGTTTCTTCTTTGGAACAAATTAAGCAGAACAATATCTCCATTCTTTTTCTCTCGTAGCTTTAACAACCTGCCAGGATTAAATACTTTCTCTAAATATTATCAAGATTAAATAATCAATTGAAGAAGAACATTTTCTTGGTTTTTCTTTTTGTTACCAATATTGGGGACCGTTGAGATCAAAAGACTTGAAAAGGTAAACACGGCTGCTCAAGATATGACAATCTTTACCATAACCATCAAAGTCTACGGGAAGAGGACATCTAAGTGCTGTCATCGGCCGAAATTTGAGGAGGCTTGAAGATCGCCAAAAGGAACATACTGAACGGAAGTGGATCAGATCAAAGGGGTTGTCGATTCTTAGGGAAATGGAGTGGAGAGTCTCCGACGGCAACTCCGACCAGCTCCCCATTTTTCTTTCTTCTCTGACTTGATCGGAGGATAATGTGGAGCTGTTAATTATAATCCTAAACGGCTAAACCCAAAACGTGTTGACCTTGTAATTCCCTTGATCAAGTTAATGCGTTGACATTTTTTGCTTGACGTGTAGGCCATGATGTAACAAATGTCACTTAATTCAAAATTCAACCTAAAGATCGTGCGTTCGAGAATCACATAAGGCTTGACCATAACACAAAGATAAGTCATTAAGAATAAATTAAAAAACATCAAACAAAACGAAGGTCGATACTCTCTACCAATCCCCAACAAGACAACACTGAAATTTCTTTTTAATATTTATCATCCTTCGTAAGAAAATACTGTTATGGAGGGAGCCGGAGAGGGAGGGTAACAGATGTTAACGATTAGTAAGTTGATGGTTTATAATGTTGTCTTTCTTTTTTTATAATGTTGAAAACTTAACTGAAAGATTTTCTCATGATTCAAAAACATAAGGGATTTTAGTAAATATTAAATGTTTTAGAATTTTTATTATCACTTATGAATTGTTTAAAACTCTTTTAATAGATTTATCAGCCCTTAAAATTAATTTATAAGTCTTTCTCCATTATTCTATCAATCTTAAACGATTTATAAATCTTTCTAAATATTATAATACATTTACAAAATGATTAATATGGCATAACAGTGATTTTATAAGTTTTTACAATTCATGCTACTTGTCAGGATAAAATAATGCAGAGTTATTTGTGATACTATGGAAGCAAAAAATAAAACAATAAAACAAGAAGAATAGATAAAATATTTTATTTTATTGATCAGTAATACAATCCATTCACAACATAAAGATATGTATGAAGATAAATTTCCATAAGCTTTAATATATTTTATACTTTCACTCCTACAACAAAATCTTTTTAGATTTTTTTTAGAGTTCTTGAGAATGTGAAAGCTTTCTTGATCCATATTTAATTAAGAGTTTATTAATACTTTTCCACCAAAAAATCTCTGGGTTATGAGTCACAGAGAAGTCGAGGATTCTATTTTGGATGATGTAAAACAGTCTCAAGCGATTTATCATGGAACTAAAAAATTATACGGACACTGTATTATCTTATTGAGTTAAGAAAAATTATTCACGATTCGTCTATTTTCTTATCGTTTTTCAAACATTTCCACCGTCTTATATTACGTATCCATTACATTTTGTTTCGTAATTTTTAATCCGGATTCTTGCGTCATGTCAATTTTTAATACAAACAACTAGATGATATCCGCGAGCATGCGCGGGATGAGTTTTTTTATATTTTTGTTCACTTTTAATATTTTGTAACATTATAATTTTTATCGATTGTAAACTGACGAATAAAAATGTTTGTCTATTAAATATATCATATATTTGAGCATTTGGGGGTCTGTTGGTTTCAGTTCAATTGATTCAGATTTTTAAAATTTTGGTATAATGATCTTCAGTCCCATTTGGATTTTACTAATTATCGGATCGGATTCGGTTCGGTTCCTTCTAAATTTGGCTTGGATCGGATTGTAACCAAAATCTGAAATCGTCTCCAAAAATATTTTTGAAACATCAAAATTGACAAAAGGCAAAATATTTTTTTTTTTTTTTTTTTGTAAATCTAAATTAAAATTAGTTAAACTATCTAAACTAAATAAAGAATATTCAAAAGAAAAAATAAAACAAACTACAAAAATATTTCGATTATAATAAAATATCTAAATTACCTTGAAATATAAAAAAAAACATTAACATATTATACTAATTTCATAGATCTTCGGACCTAGTTCGGATTTTGGTTCGGTTCGGATTATAACCAAATTCTAAAGTACTAAGATCATAAGTCTTGTTCGGATAAATTATAATAGCTAGACTGGGTATTATGGTGAAACAAATATTAGACGAATGATCAAATATCTCATTCTTCGAACAAAATCAAAAGGAGATGACTGGACGCTTGTCATGATATTTCATTAAAATATTTTTAAGATAAATATGAAAACTACATTATTTAATTTGAATGAAGTAATATATATAGTTCTTCCGATATTAAAAATCACGTATTGAAGAAATGTTCTTCTCAGATTATCAGGATCAAATAAGATATTAGAAACTACCTATTTAAAAATTATTTTGTATACATAAGAGTATCTAAACTATTAAAAGGAGTACAAAAAAGAAATAACCCTTAGTTTTCTTCAAAAATTACAATAAAATGCCACTACAACTAAAACATTGTAATTTTGTTCTTATATGGACTTCAATATAGGTTTACGCAATTCAATTTTAAAAGGGCATTTGTTAATAAAATTGCTAGAGCTTTTTTTAATATTTTTTAATTGTCGTTGTGTAAATAATTTATTTTAAAAGAAATATTTATTAAATTTAATCTTAAATTACAATTGCAATCACAAATTTTTTAGTATAATTTAATATAACACACACAATTTAAACAAGATACTCTAATATTTTACACTTAATTGTTTAGTTTAGCAAATGAAAAAAGTACGATATAAAAAAATACAACTTGATAGTTAGAACAAAGATGCTAAACAAAATGAATAAAATGCACCGATATCATAACTCAGTAACCTATGAGACATAAATAGAAATGTTTTTACAACTAATACAAATATATATTTATATAAAACATACATCCGCGCGGGCGCGCGGATCAAAAGCTAGTATACATTAGAGTAAGAGCGCATATAAGTCAAGACTAATACCTTTTGTTAATTTACAATCATGTTTTTGGTAAATAAATCAAAAACAAAAATTTTATTTATTTTATATGGTATATAATTAAACGTTATTGATATTGACATATATATATATATATATATATTAATTTATATTTATTATTGACACTTCTTTTTCATATGATTTTATTAACATTTGTATATTTTTCCCTAACAAAATTTTTGATAAGTCACAAAATTTTAACGTGAGATTGTTCCAATATTAATTTTAAAATTAAAATATTAAGATCTCAATACATTTTCACAGAAAATTTTGAAATTAACATATTTATGTATTTTATATACTATATAATTTAATTGAAATGATATTGATATATATAATATGAATATCTATGAATGAGACTTCATATTCATATAATTTGTAATCATTTGTATTTTTATTGAACAAAAAAGTTAAACCATTGATCAAAAAAATTCAATGTGAGACTTTTACCATTTTTAGTAATTTATAGTCGTTTCAAAAAATTCTAAATATAATATATAAGAAAAAATCTATTTTTATTATATTCTTAATGTAATTGTTTAATTATTCTTAATAATAAAAAGTTAAACAAAAAAAGAGAAAAGATACAAAAATTGTTGTCAAATATGGATTATTCATAATCATTAATTGTCATATATATGTTAATCATATTAGGTAATTTCATAGTTTTTATTTAAGGAATGCAAGAATAATCTTTTGAATACTAACAATTAATTTGATAGTTAGTTTAACAAAAAATAAAATATATAATTGTATGAACTAACTTATTTTTCTAAGGATTCTGAGAATTGTCCTGGTGATGATTCGTGGCTACGGAACTATATTGTAATGCTCCATGACTAATATATAGGGGATTAGTTTAAGTGTTGAAATGTGACATGATGCAAACATTTTGTTTTGAATATTATGTTGGAACTAAGGCGTTGCTGATTACAATGGAACTCTATTTGCTCCAGCGGAACTTACCTTTTCCCATAACATATGAAATCCCCTATATATTAATTGAGAAATATAAAGATGTAATCTTAAGTATTAAAAAAATAATTTCATCCTACGTGGCAGCTCTCTATGCCTTCTAATTCAATTTAAAAGGATTCTAGAGCACCTTCTATAAACTATAGAATAAAAATTACACTCTCTACCAATATAATATTTTACAGACTATAGTTGGTCGTATATATCAAATATTTATTGTTCTACAGGCTTTCCTTAAATAAAATCTACGGAATTAGCTAATGTGATTAATATATATATATATGACAATTAATGATTTTAAACAATAAGATTTGATAACAATCTGTATACTTTTTAT